ACAAGATTCCATGTAATCTACTTTAGCAAGAGCAAGAAGTAAGTTTGGACCACCGGACAATAATATAAACTTTAATTGTCAACAATGACGAAAGAAAAGATTCTAAGGAACACTATAAAAAGCTTCCTATAAGCTGTAATAGGTATGGAGCATTAAAATACCCAAATACCTTACTTGAGTGCCTTATACCATGTATCTGTAAAACACCCTTCAAGAGGAAGGGAACTTTCCCTTTCTTATCTGAGAAATAAAATCATGTTTTAGAATAATTCTTGTGCTTCTATCCTTCTTAATTTCCATCATAGAAAAATGTGAAGAATTTCTAAAGATACATAGACAACAGTGAGGTCACTAGTCCTGTTTGAATACTAGTGTAGCCAGAGTTTGGCTTTGAAGGTTGAACAAAGGAAGCATCAGCTTGACCAAAGGCTAAATAAAGAAATTTTCAGGCTTGGTTCTAACTCGTTCTTCTTATCATACGAAAGCTAGGTGGGCATAGAAGCATTCCTATTATTTTTTGACGTAATTGTTTTTGAGATTATAAATAATAGGGAAATAGTACCTAACCTCTTATATTTTTAATAGAAAAGCTTGTATTAATACCTTATTTGTAATGCTTTAAGATGCTTAACTTCATTCAAGAAATAATAGTAGATAAAGTGGTATGTGAGCAGTAATGCGAATATTATAGAAATAAAATAGTAAATATTTTAGAAAAAATAAGTAATATTGAAGATATAGATGATTATTACCTCTTTAAGAATCTTAAAAAGTTAAAGCAAACAGTTGCAAATTTAAATGAAGATTTAACAAGACTTAAAAAAGCTAAACAAAGACTATTTCTACTAGCAATTTAGTAGATCTATTGAACTTAACATACCAGCTACACATTAGTTTAAAGTCTAAGTTAGGTTCCAAACACCCCATAAAATTTTTGGTATTAGAGCCATAAAAAAATTAAAACACAATGATGTTAAGAATGTACTTAAAAGGAGAAGTAAAGTTTTGTGAACAACAAATAGATATAATCTCAAAAATTATAAAATTAGAAGGGATGATTCCTTATAGAACTGATGAATTATTATGGGAAAGATATATTTTTGAAGTGAGAAGAGCAATAGCTTTAGAAGAATTAAAAATCTTAGCAAAATAAAATAAAAATTAGTTCTGAAATAAAATTAAATTTATGAACTAAAGTGTTAATTTAACAAAAGATGACAGTTGAACTTAACAGTCAAGACTGTTAAATATTTGGTTAAAGGACAAAAACCCTCAAACCCGATAAGTTAAAGGGTGAATAACCCAGACTTATAAATTGAAGAGCAAAATCCCTTAAACTCAAAATGTTGAAGACAAAGCATAGGTATATGCCAACTTTATCTTTAGGACAAGATTTCACTTAGTCAATAAAAAAACTGAGCCAAAGTTAAGGAAAAAATTCATAATCGCAAAAAACACTACAACAAAACTAGCTTTTAATGAGAGTAAATATGGTCATTAAAAGCCCATATTTTGGTCGTTGAAAGGTAAACAACGACAAGATATCCCAGTATGGCCCGTAGTTAATATGCTTGGTGCTTAAAAGTTTTCAATGACAAGGCATTTTGCCTGTTACTAAAAGTAACACACATCCCGCCGTTACATGTCAAATAATTTTCAAAATAAATAACAAATAACTATCAATCTATTTATTTATAATGACTAAGATTGCCCGTCGTTGTTGGTTCAAAATAATTTATAATGATAATAATCCTGCCATTAAATATTAAACAACCTTTAAATTGAAAATGCAAATAACCACCAAACTATTAGTTCTAGATATGGTGATTACTAGTCACTAATTTTTATGTTGTAGATTATTCGATGAGAAATTGAAAGATAAACCTTTAATTAGATAGCTAGAAAGAATAAATTTGACAGTAACATTATAAACCATAATTGTCCATAATATCATCAATAAATGGATCTTCAAATACACAAGAGTTTAATTTACCATCCAAAACTATCAAAAAGTACAAGGTCTCTAGTTGAAATTCTGCCTTAACCAAAGATACCAAATCTTGGCTATATATATGCTCATCTCCAGGTCTCTTCACCTGCATTAAAAGATTTCCAATAAGAGGTAATTATAATCACATCCAACTAGCAAAATTCAATAAGAAGCCAATTTATGCAGAGTTCTATTCATGAATGATGTCTTGTTGGTTGCATCTTAACCAAGCTTTATAATAGTTAATTCACAGGGTTTCAATGAAGCCTCAAATAATAGATTTTCAAGAGAACCTAAGCAAAGAGATGACAAATAAGAAACAAAGGACAACAATGCAATTCAGGGCACTAAGACAATAAATCTACCTGCATTTTGCTACCTTCCCTGTTCTTATTGCTAGTATTTTCAACCAAATCCAACTCCTATAAATTAAATGATTTCCTACTCACAATATATCTTTAACTGAAAAAGATGTATAAACAAATAAAACAACCTAACTGGTTAATACCCAAATTACCTTAACTGCTGCAAATTTCCATGCACACAACTTACATTAACATTTGCACTAGCTCGAATTCAAGGAAAATTAGAAATTAGTGATATCAGTAAATCACTGGAATGATCCAGTGACATAAAGCAAAGTAGAAATGTTGGATTCAAAAACCTAAAATATTATTTGAATCCACATGAGAGATATTGACATCAAGAACTATTTTTGATAATTATGCCTCTAACACAACACAATAAAATTAGTACCTTCCTTTGCTTACAGCATCAAATAGATGTAAAATGCCTAAGCAAAATTACTTCTCCCTTATTCTTATCTTCCACAAATCAAGAAGAAAAAATCCAGAAAATAGGAATAGTAATTCTTTGTGTCTATAATCTACCTTTTCCATAATTTATTAATAGACTTATAAATTCAAAGAATAATATGCTTAAATAAATGAAAGAAAAACAACTAAAAGAATTCTAATTTTTCAATAGAATCAATTCCTCCAAACTACAACATAAACGTAGAATACTCTCAATCTTCTAAGGAAATAAAGACAACAAGCATGCAAGCACCCACTAGATAAAAACATTTTGCAAGGAAATAGAGCACAAAAATAGCCTACGGAATATGATAGCCTATGTAAGAGAATCAAAACTAAAAGATAAGAGGACAGACATACCTTAGACCATAAACCATAGGCCTGTGCTATACTCCTAAGAGTGCATTCCCTACTAAGACTTCATGTCTCTACCAAAAAAAGAGGACAAAAATCACTTGAAACAGAATGAGAACAGAGTCCCTTATAGCTGAAATTAAGTGAAAGTGAGTGAGGAATCAAACTCCAACTAAGCAGTAAAATATTCAGTTAGTATTTCCCATGAAACAAAGATATTCTTATATAGAAGTGCAAATTGCAAAGAAAATTATGACGAAAAGAATGAGTGTATAATAGGAAATAAAATTAATTCAAGTAAAGAAAATTAAGCAAAGCAATATACTTTCTTTTAGCAAAAGTAATTCTATTGATAGAGAGTGAAAGGGTTCTCAAACCTTTAAAATAAACATTGACACTTCCTCCATTCACCAATACAAAAAAACTCACGAAATTAACTTAATAACAAAACAATCGAAACAATATGCTAATACTGCATAGGTTGGAAGACAAATAAACAGGTCAAGCACTTACTGGAAAACATATCTACTCACTAAATAGATAGTCTAGTATCTTTTAGAGAAATCCGCTTGCCAAACAAGCATCTAGACCTGCAACCACAGCACATTTTCCAACCGCATATCAAGATACCACCGGAATAACAATTACAAACCAAACAGGATAATAGCAGCCCAGAACAATACTAATGGCCAACAAATGAAAAAAAGAGAAGCAAAGAGTAAATTTTCATTAATTATAGTAAATAGAAACATGAAATTAATACAGAATTTGCAAAGTAAAAGATGCAAATTTGAGAAATGAAATGACGAAGGTAAAAGAGAATGCCAAATTACTAGAGTTAGCGGTGAGATGAACTAGGGAGGAGGGTCGAAAGTTGATTGAGGAGCAAAATCTGGTCCTTTACCAACTGGGTTTTCACCGATCAGCCTCAGAATCCAAAGAAAGAAACAAAAAAATTGAGAACCCATCCTCGATTTTTCACTCTTTACGCACAGTGCTTTAACTCATTTGATCGCATCGACGGCTGTAACCTGGAGGCTTGGATAGTGGTTTCATGTTCAAATATACAATAGTAAAAGTGGTTTTACAAATCCAATTTGGGAGATGGGGTGGTTTTGGGAATCTGATTTGAGAGAGGGGAGTACGAGATGATGGTTTTGAGTTCGATGGTGTGCAGACTAGGGTTTAAAAGAGAATGTGAAGGGGAGAGAAGTCGACGGTTTCTATGAATGAATGTGAAGGGTGGATCTTATTCTTCTAAGCCGAGATCCAATGGTCCTCCTTTTTCGTTCCTAATAAAATATTTATTTTTATTTTTTCAAAAAAATTAGCAAAAATCAACCACCCAAAATTTTTTTTTAGATGGACTCCTGCCCAAAATTTTAGACTAACCATGGGATTTTAACATTGGTGGCTAAAAACACATAAAAAGCAGCCTATTCTTTATCCTTTAGCGTGGTGCTGGTAGAATTGCGTCCAATTTACTTATTACAAAATGCTTTCGCTAGTGGAACACTTGAAAGTTTGTGAAATAGGTAGCTATCAAGATTAGGGCATCCAAAGAATGCCTTACCACGAGATTTGCAAGAGAAGATGAAACCTCCAAATATTTCATAATGAGCTGAAACATCTCCCATGTTATGATTGTTTTCACAACTTGGAGTTGTCTTCAAAACATTAAGATCCTCAAAGGCACCAACATAGGATGATGATGCAGTATCAAAATCCGAATGGAAGAAGAGAAACTTCTCACCCAATTTGATATCGGCACTATCAATGATAAAATACTCTTTAATTCCTCTGTTTAAAAACCAGAATAAGACAAATTATTCTTCTTCCTGAAGGAAAAGATTTAAAAAAATGGAAATTAAGGGGTGAAAAGCTTGTAAATGTGTTCATATCTTCTAAGAAAATGTTAATGAAAGCAAAGATGGTAAAGTAGTTCAAATAATCTTACCCTAAAACTTGATAAAATGACAAATATGATCTTATTTCCCATTTCTCTCCTTCATTGGAGCATTGTCGATTTCGTATGACCGCAATGTACACATTAGGAAACTCATCATCCATCTACAAATTTCACAAATTAATAACCCATTTAGCTTCTTAACATTCATTAAGTATGCTAAAATATATGATAAATAGATAGTACCAAAACTATTAAAAGCAATGAAATAAGATATATATATATATATTAGGGATTTACTTACACGTTACACTTATACAAAATTTCAATCATTCATTTTTTCACTTTCAATGATCGAGATTTATTCATATTTATTAAAGATAATTATCTTTTTCATTGAAAAAGTTATGATAAATCTTGACCATTGAAAGTAAAAAGATAATGAGTTGTGATTTTATGAAAGTGTGGTGTCTAAAACATATATGTAAATATGATGTGTAAGAAATATATGTAAATAGATATTTTTTCATATATATATATATATATATTATATTAAAATCGCAACTCTTCATTAAGGTCATTAAAAAGTCCTTTGCGATATAAAATATCCTTGTTCCCTTTCATTTTAGCAATGAGCCATGGAAATTTGAAGTTTTTCACTAGTACAAACACTGTCTTCAGTTCTGGAACGAATGGTAATACATCATGGCAACATTAAATTGGGTCTTTCCTATATCTGCTCATTTGAAAAAAGTCAAAAAATGTGCGACGTTTATAAAAAAAAAGAGTTAAAAAGCTTGTAAAAAGATATTATGAATAATATCAATTAGAAATAAATAAAAAATACAACAACAAACAAAAAACATTAAAATTACACAAATGTGTTTTCATTATAGATTGCACTTTTTTTTTTTTACAGTTTAAATAATGAAATTACCAAAATATCTTTAATAAAACTGCTCTCAATGTTTATTAATGGATAGTGTTTTGATAAGTTTAGTACCCATACTACACAAAAAATGCAATCCCTATGGAAAAATCTTTCTCTAAAATTAATAAAAAAAAAATTAGCAAACACTCCATTAGATCACTAAGAATATTTGATGCGCTATAGTCACTCTGACAAGTGTACTAATCGCTCCAAATAATATAATAATAAGTAGAGTATCAAACTCACGAGAATTGTAACTAATTAAGTACTAAAATAATTAATTTAAATTTATTTGAATAATCGAAAAGAAAGAAGCTTTAATTAAAAATGATAAGAAGGAAATAACAATTAAAATAAAACTAATTAAGATATGAGGTACTAAGGTATCGATTTTACCATAATTAATTAACATATATTTTCGATTATTATACTTTTAAATGTTACTATTCATGTGACAACAGAATTTTCTATTATATTCGATATACTTTCTCAAATTATATCAAACTTATCTTAACATTAACACACTATATCTCTATGTGAATTTAAATAGATAGAAATGCATTATATTCTATAAAATTCTTTAGTTTATGTAAAAAATTAAGTCCACTTATCACTAATGCTGCACAAGTCACGTTAGTTCATCTTTGGCTTTCATTTAATTCATGGGATATATCACTAGAAACTATTGCATAAAATCTCCTCTTAGTTTTAATTATGCTCTCCAAATTAATTTTAATAGTGATCAAGTATTAAAAGGCATTAAGAACAATAATATATACTCATCATGGGATAACAATCTCAAAAGTGTAAAAATCATAAAAACCCATATTAAATTAATTATGTTACATCTTAACTCTAGTTGACTAAATCAGTTCATAATAGAAATAATAAAAATTAAAATAATAATTATGAATATTTGAATATCAAACAATAAATAAAAAAATCTAAGAAAAATAAAACCTAATTTAAGTAAATTAAACTCTTTAACTTTTTATTGTTGATAAAACATCTATCTTGATTTTCAATAATGATCACCAATAATACCCAAAAGAGTGCTGCCACCAACCTCCAAAACTCTTCCCAAAGGCTTTCTCAATTATGAATTTACATGAGTATTTATAAGATTTTAAAAAATCTAATTGAAATAGAAGTGAAACCCACACGCAAAATAATAAATTAAACACAGATTTTGTGAAAAGCAGGTAAAGAGTCAACACCTTCAACAAGGTGCCGACACTTTCTGTTCAGCGTACAATTCCATCGCCGTGTCGGGTTTTGGCCTTCTAAGTTCAGTTAATGGTAAAATGGCAATTCTGGTCCTTAACTTCTAGATTTTTCACAATTTAATCCTCATGTTTCTGATCTTTGTAATTTACTCTTAGAAATTAGGTTAAATGCTAAATTTGGTCCCTCAACTTTAGTGAATTGCACATTTTTTGTCCCTTAATAATTTTTTGTATTTTTTTGATCCCTTAACTCTAAGAAATGCACACTGTTAATTCTTTTGTCAATTTAGACCGTTAACTACGACACGTGGCATTTTTTATAATTTTTTTGATGACATGACAAAAATAATTTTAAAAAAATGTTGATCTGGAATTTTTTTTAAGACATGTTATTGTCAACTCATCACCAACTCATCGACCGATTTTGCTTTAATAAAAAAATAGAAAATTACAAATTTACCCATCTCCCTTTTTTTATCCATCTTCTTCCCCTCTTTCTATCATCTTCTTCCTTTCTTTTTTTTCTTTTTCTTTCTTTCTCTTCTTTCTTCCTCTTCTTCCTCTATGTTTGCTAGGTTCAATGAACCCAGATCAGCTGGGTTCGAGGAACCCAGCAACTGGGTTCGAGGAACCCAGCAACTGGGTTCCACCAAACCCAACTCGGGTTCGATGAACTCAGTTTGCTGGGTTCGAGTTGGGTTCCGTCGAACCCAGCTCCACTTTTTTGTTTATTTTTTTTGTTATATGTTTGTTTGCGAAGAGATTATCCAAGTTGCAGGTTATGAGGGATTTTTGGATCATTTTCTTCATATTTTTTAAGTATTGTCTAAATGATTTCAATGTTCAAAATGGAAAGAATAGAAGTAGTTGGGCAAAGAAGCAATTCTTAGTGGGTTTTCATTTGTTTGGTTGGAAAATGGTATAGTTTGGGTGTTTGGATGCTGAGAAAATGCTTTGAATTTGTTTGGTTGTCGAGATTGGTTACTGAGAAACTATAATGTCCATTAAAGAAAGAAAATTTGATGAAAAAATGGTGATTTAATTATAAATTAATTTAGAATCTTAATTTTGATTAATATAAATAATTATAGTGTAATGATGATTAATTAATAAAATTTGATTTGATATTATTTTTTATTCGGGTAAATATTTAATTTAATTTGTTATATTATTAAAAAAATATAAAAAAATATCACTTAATTTGCCATGTCATCAAAAGATATCTTTCTTTATTAGTGATGTGGGATCTATTTGAGTAGATTTGGTGCCATGTGATCCAAAGACAAATTTCTTTATTAGTGAGGTGGGACCCATTTGAATGTATTTGGCACATGGTAATATGAAATGTCAAAATGTTTGTCCATATCATCACTTTGCTCTCCACATCATCAAAAATAAAAAATAAAAAATAAAAAATGCCACATAAGTGGAGTTAACGGCTCAAATTAATAGAAGGACTAACGGAGTGCATTTCTTGTAGTTGAGGATCAAAAAGTGCAATAAATTATTGAAGGATCAAAAATGTGCATTTCTTAAAGTTGAGGGACCAAATTTAGCATTTAACCTAAAAATTATGATTTCTTTCAATTAAGTCCTTTTCTACACACAGAATGAAAATTAAGTAAAATCAAATAAAATCTTACAAAACTCATCAAAATATCAATAATATTAAGATAAAAATTTTACATTAATATATATATAAATTCAACTCATCAATGTTATACAATAAGAAGCGACCTTTAAAACTAATCATGTAATTATTTTCATAGTTGCGTTTAGAAATATCAAAGATTAAAAGGAAAGCTATATTAGAAGGCAATAAACATTTTCCTTACCCAGGTTGAATTGAATTATTACAAGAATATTCAAAATTATAATTTTCTTTAATAAATTGATTTATATAAACAATGATTTTATCTTTTTAAGATTTCCTTTCTTCTTTGTCATAATTTCTCTTTTACTATTAAAATTGATTTAATAACTTTTTGAGGACTCCAACTTACAAATCATGTACTCTAAAACTAGCATCAAAGAACTAATTATCTACTACTGTGTAGACATAATAACTATCATGTATATAAGTGCATACATTGATGAAGGAAAATGCCCAAGGAAATCTAGCAACTATTTAGTTTAAAAGCATGTTTTTAAAGACTAAATGTGAGAAACTTAAAAAAAAAAAGAAAAAAGAAAAGACATATACCACAAGGTTTATTTTTATCTTTTACAAATACGGGAACAACAGTATCCAAAAAGAACAGACTCATTAAGTAATTTTGAAAATTATTGCAATTTTGGAATAAAAAGTGACTACTTGTCTCCCCCACAATTATTCTTTCCTCAGGGATAGTAAAATCCGACAAATACAAGAGCTTACAACTTTGTTTGATATATATATATATATATATATATATTATCATGAGCTAGATTATTGTTTAAGAAATGTGACATCTTAAAATGAAGTAACTTACCAATGTCTGCCAAAATTGGTGTTATGTGTCAACATGTTGATCCTAGTAAATTATCCAAATTCATTAATGGATGATAAAATAATTATATAAAATTACAAGCCTACCGGAAATAATGACTAATAACTTACTTCAAACAATATGATCCCAATTGGGGCAAAGTAGCTAGAATAAAGATTGTGTAATTCTTAATATCCATAAAAAATTTGTCAACCATGGCTATTTGAGGTTCCTGATATTTGTCAAAATTTGTAAGTTAGCATTCATTTTCACGTTGTAAAGAATGAGAAACTGACATGACTCCCAAAATGAAAATAAAGAGCAATGACAACCATTACAATATGCTTAGGTCACTCATACATGGTTCTTCAAATCCTTTTCAGAATGTTAGAGTGACATCTTCATCTTATTTATTTGAGGCATTCTTTGTTGGTGGCTTCATGATAAAAACTCTTAAACTGGAAATAATAATAATAAAGGTAGTTACCTTCTTGGGTCGTAATAGTGGGGTAGCATCAACTGTTAGGTTAGGTACAAATCCAACAACCAACACAATCCCTTTATTAAGATTTGTTATCCTTAGTTCCACCCCAGTTAACCTGTATGATACTTTGCAAAAAAATCTAAGAGCTTGTGTATTCTCAAAGCCTTTTATTTTTTTTTTTTATTATTCAATAACTTAGGTAGAGATAAATAGTTAAACTTTAGGAGAACAGTTCAGTGATAAACACAAACCTCTTCGATCTCATCAGAAAGAGCATCAATACCAACAATTCAATTAGCGACACTTGTAATGATCGGAATCCTTGAACCTAATTTTTGAGTGATCTACATCATATTTGGATTAATAACTAATGCCAAAACAAAAAGGAAAAAAGGCCATTGCTTGTTCTCTCCCTCTTATTTATAATTTTGATTTTTAATGAAGAGGCATTTTCTTTTTCTTTTTCTTAACAGAATACTTAGGAAGAAAGGAGTATTTTTTCCTCAAGGGCCATGTGGACTTGAACTCCTAACCTAGAGGCCAGGTTTTAAGATATATATGGAAAATGATCAATTGATAACCAAGTTTGACATATAATGCATAAAAATTTTAGCAAAGAATCCATACAATATTGTGTGTCACTTCCAAGCTAAATTGTAGGCCAATGCATGCTAAGGCAAAATGTGATTGGATTGGCTCAGAAAGAACCTTCTCAAGAATCTCTCTTAGAGCGAATTGAAAAATTAATCAAAATGTTTAACTATTAACATTTTCTTTTTGTTAGAAGAGTACATTAAAGAAATTGAGATCATTTAAACTTAAAGGTATTACCAATTCAATTAGGTACTTACAGGAAGATGAGGGTTGAGGGAGAGTGCAGAGGGAAGTTTCGGGTGAGAAAGAATTTGATGCAACTTTTACCCTAAAATTTGTTAACGCAAGCTGCATATGCAAAAGATATGGCTGGCAACCTAGAGAGTATGTTATGAAGAATATCTTTGTCTTCCAAAACCAAGGTACCCATATTTTTCTTCTTCCTCAATGATGTTTTGATATTTCTACCAGATTTAGAGTATTTATAGCTTTTGTTTTAAATTAACCAATGACATTAGAGCATATTGTTTTGTAGACCTAAAATGGGAATAGTCTAATGGTGGCTGTTTAATTCTATCCATTTCCATTATTCAGAAATCTAAAGAAAAGGTAAATTGTCTGATTTTTTAGATTAAATTTTGGATTTTGGGATTCATTGATTTTGGTTGTATGTGTAAATTTATCCTTCTTTTGGTTTGATTGTGAATTTGGATATCAACATCACTTTTTATTTTTGTTAATTTCTTTGTGTGTACCTTTTTTTTTTTTAAATTAGATTTTTCTTTTATTTGTGTGCTTAGATCCATGGTTTTTAAGTAGTGTTTGATTTGATAAAAAGGTAATAACTACATTTAGGAAAATTACATGGCAATTGACACAGTAATTTAGGAATGTTAAAGTATAATTCTCCTATAAGAGTGATTGTTTATAGACAGCTCTTATTTGATTAGCATTATAGAGCATGATTGATGAACTTTTTTTTTTAACATCTCACATATTTAGTTTTTGTTTACTATACTCATATGCTGTATGACTTGAATCTAATGCCTCTTTTGAAAGGGAATTAAATTGTTAGCATTCTTAAAGAAGTTATTTAATTTTATTTTTTTAAAAGAATAAAATTCATTTTAATTGGGTTATGACTTTTTGTTTTGAATTTTTTTTATATTTATTAATAGAAAAGTGTTTCTCATGTCAACTTGTAAGAAAAAAATATAGAAATACATATGAAATTATTTAAAAAAGAGAAAGTAAAAGGTGGAGAAAGAGGATATTGCTACTGGCTGGAATTTGGCTAAAGAAGAGAGAGAAAGGGAGGATGATGAAAGAGAAAGGAGAGAATAAGAAGGGAAAGGGAAAATGGAAAGTTCTGAAAGATGACAGGGTAGACTTGTAGTTTCATTTTTCTTTCTATTTTTTTATTTGATTTGAGAGTCTATTAGATCTATAGTGAAAGTGAATGACTGGGATCTAAGTCGGCAATGCCACTATGTAGAAATGACCATGTGGTGCAAATGTGACACAGATGTGTGCTTATGTGACCAAGCCTTAACAGTCATGTTGTACATGACTTTTAACCTTAAATTTTGTCTAATTTGCTCGAATCGGTAAGCTGGAAGGCATATATTTTTACTTTATAAAGTTGAGGGCATAAACTCTGAAGATTGATAAGTTGAAGGTGAAGCATGAGTTTTTGCCTAACTATGCGTGCATGTTTATTTATTAATGGTATTTTTGTCTTTTCGTTGGCATTAATTGCTACTGTTTTTTATTTTTTTTGAATAAAATGACAATGGTAGGATTCGAACTTCGAACCAACCAAAAGAAGGGGGGACTGCACCTTCAAAGTGATCCAAATGCCACTTGACCCGAAGAACCAGGTGCAATTACTACTGTTTTTTCTACACGTCAACCAAAAAATTCATATTTTTATTTAGTAACTAATACTATATATAGATTAAATTTAATAAACTTTTGTTTCTTACACTGAACTCTTATTTCTAAATATACTAGTTGATACTAGTAGAATACCTCTTTTACACGTGATGACAACTCATTGGTCCATATGGTCTATGGAATAGTAACCTAAGTAGAGTTGATGTAATACCCAAGGATTTCTTACTTAAGATTTAAATAAATTATGTAAGCTCTTAAAGGATGTATATGTGATAGGATTAAATTTGGGGTTAAAATTATAATGAGGTGAAGGACTTAGGGACTAAACCTTATAATTAAAGCTCAAGGATTAAGTGGCAATATTTCCTTTTTGTAAAAACCCCAAATCAGATTTGGCTCGGCAGTTTCTTTTTTTCTTGCTTTCATTCTTTTTGGGGGAAACAGGATCGTTCTCCTCTCGCCAGCAAGGGGAAACAGCTCTAGGGATCTGCCATATTAGATTAATTGAAGGCTCCGAATAGTTGTGTAGAATTGCAATTGAAAGATAGTTATTGAGGTAACTAGCTATACCCTTCAGTGGTTTTAAAATAAATTGATATGTTTAAATGGGTTTTGCCCAGATTTGATTTATTTATCTATTTGATTATTTGTTCATCTATTTCTTATAGAATGATTTATACTAAATATTTTTAATGATGGAATGAGATGATTTGTGAATCGAGCATAATATTTTTATTTAAATTTGAAATGAGATTGTGGCCATGTGGAGGTGGCTAATTTAAATGTGTTTTCTCCAATATTATTGAAATTGTTATTTTTGGAACGGTTTCTTTTATTCGTCCTGGCTGGATAATTCACCCTTGTAAGAGTTGAGTTATTGGTATTGTGATAAACCCGGGATCTATGGATTGTGGATTGTGGATCGTGGATCGTGGATCGTGGATTGTGGATTGTGGATCGTGCATTGTGGATTGTGGATCATGTATTGTGGATTGATGATTGAGTATCATTGATCGTGGATTGTGGATTGTTGTACAGCCTTCAAGGACGAAAAATGAAATATTTTGGTTTCGAGGAAAGAATTGTATTTTTCTTTATCGTTTCGTTTTCAATAAAAATTTAGTTTTAAATTTTTATATTTGGTTGTGGTGGATGGGTATACTACTTACAGAGTTCTTAAACTCATGTTTTCAGATTTCATCCCATTTCAGGTGAAGAAGTATGAGCATTGGGATCTGCATGGGGATTGAGAGATCGTTAGGATAAATTGGCAGAAATTTAGCAATAGCTCAATTGGAAGTTTATTTGGTTTTATGGAATAAGGTGTTAAACACTTTATGTTTTGGTTAAAGGATTTGATATTGCTTTTTGGAGACTATTAAGATTTGTTAATGGAATTGTAAGAATAGCAAAGGAGATTGTATTGATAATCGACGAATATAGCCTTACACATTTATAGGGTTAACCTATAAATGTGTGGCCTTTGTTATGCCTAAACCTTTGGGTTGGGGCGTGACAGTTGACCACCAGACAATGGCGGGCCAAAATTTACTATAATGGGAGCCAAATTTGTGAATGCTCTATCAAATTTACACCTAAAACATTTACTCATTGTTTTAAAGTTGAAAATGTAAGAATGATTATAAACTTGGTTATAGTTAAATATAAAATATATCGCCCTTTTAATATTTTTAGTGATTAGTGTTTGCCTAATTGTATTTGTTTAAAAAAATAAAAGAAAATGAGTAAATAGAAACCAACAAAAAAAATACATGTAATAATCTCAAAAATATATACTCGGTATAGTAAATGACAAAATAAAGTAAACATATTTGATTCAATAAAAAATTTCTGAAGTTAGGGTCAAGTTTTGATGTTTGACCTTATAATATAATAAGTTATCATAAACTCAATTGAATGTTTTAGATTAATTCTAAGTTGTACGAGAGTTACGAAATTTAGAATTTTTTCAAAAAAACGAAGGGGAGTATAAGGAGGAGAAATGTTAAAAGTTATAAAAGTTATTAGAGATTACAAGAAAATTTCTTATGTTTAATGAATCATCTTAAAGATTGATTAATTGTCATTTTAATATTTATTTATGAATGTAAGAATAAATATTATTAAAAAACTAATGATAATTATTTTTATAAAGATTAAGATAATAAAGTACATAAAATAAAAATTAAGAATTATTTTTGAAATAATTTTAAACTTTTTCAAAAGACTAGGGGGACTAAGTGAGGCTGTAAAGCTGGTAAGGTTATACCTATAGAGAGCTCCTAAGTTCCCAATTGACAAGCTACCTCATATAGGACATATAAAGGTGGTAAGTTATGCTAGGTATAGTTATGACACAAACTTAACCATCAAGGCTAAGATGGAGACAAAGCACAAAGAATAAGGAGGCGACCCACACCATATTAGGTAGTGTGCACATTAGAGCATTACTTGTGAAATGATGTAGGTTGAAGTTTGCTATTGGCTTAACAACTTCTCAGGTCAAAGTTAACGGACCCTCAAAAACTTAAACTCAAGTTGTTAGTAATGGTTAGTCATAACAATTATATATCAATCACACTTACAAATTCAATCCCAATGTGGAAGGGTATTACAATATCTCACACTTAAATACTTGATGTCCTCATTAAGGACATTCATAATTAGAACAAGGCTTATTGGGTTGCAAGCAAAAAATCCACCTCAAGTGATGTGAAATCTACACTAGCACCAATCACCATACTCAGCTTGAGCTTATATTTGTGAGAGGTAGTTGCCTTGATACTAACTGAAACAACCTGGGTTGAAACTCGTTACTAGTCTAATAATTTTTCCTACTAAGGTTAATAGGCTCTCAAAACTTAAACTTAATTTGTTAATAGTGGTTAGTCATGAAAAATTATATACCAATCGCACTCTTAATTCAATCTTAACATGGGATTCGAAGCGTCACAACTTGTGCCAACTTTAGTTTGTTAGAGAATGTTAGCCTTAACCCTCTTTATCTTATATCCACATGTCCTAATTATATGGGCTATTACACCGGCCTCTTGTACTAGTTTGTTAAGTAGGGACAACGTATGAAAATTAGCATGTCTATCCATTATAAAACATATTAGGAAAGGAACTATAAAAGTTCTCTGTTGACGACCACTTAAAAGGGATTAAGTGTGAAAATATTAAAGAAAAAGAGAGTCGCCAATCTGTCCAAATTATAAGGTGAGACAAGTCACCTAAAAATAAGTCTGCACAAAGATCAAGGTCTGGGGATTCGGTTAGGGGTGAGGAAGGGCATACGCGGACCTCACAATCCTCCGTTTAAACACGGTTGCATACTTTAAAATTGGAGTTTTGATTCAACTTACTCGTTGTGTTTATGTTTGAGTCTTAAATAGGTTAGTTTGAAAGAAGGATAAGCCAAATTGAAACATTTAAAAAATTTTTGGACTAAAATGGACAAAATCAAAGACAGGCATGCATCCTAAGCACAAAATAAAATTAAAGGGACTAATTTGATTAAATTTGAAAACATGAAGGACTGGTTTAAAAAGATTGAAACTTTGGGACTGAATTGCTTAATCATAAAACTTGTGGGTGAAATTGAGATAAAATAAAAGATAACTTTGACTTTGACCAAGATTGAAGTTAATTAAAAATTAAAATTAATTAATCAAAATAATTAACCTAATTAAATAATTAACTTACTATTAATTAAAATTAATTAAAATTAATTAATCATATTTATTAATCATTGAAATAACTAAATAAATCTAATTATCTCAAATCAAACTCAATAAATATGATTAATTTATTTTAATTAAAATTAATTAATTTCGTTAATCATAAATTAAACTAACTTTTTTTATTTAATTAATAATTTTATATTATTAATTATTTTTATTTTTTTTTACTTTTTAACCTTTTTTTAGTTTTTTTTTTTTTAACTGAATCGGGTTAGATCGAACCCACTCCAAACACAACCCAAAAACACAATCCTTCAAACAGATAAACACAAAACAGATCAAATCTTGAACAAAGACCCAAATCCAAAGGACATGAAGAGAAATTTAGAGTTCATCATTTTACTTCTCATTTTCAGCAATAAACACGTAAAATAAACAGAACAATCTTTGATTCCCATTCATTTTCCAACAAACTAAATACAAGCTTAAACACAGATCTAAACAAAATCAACAGAAAATCACAGAAACATCCACAGCGGAATTGTTAGGAGGAGGTAGGTCCAGATCAGAAAGGAGGGATCCCACCCACGGGATCAAGCTCCGTTCGTCTCCTTCACTCCCTTTTCCTAAAATCCCTCTGTTTCAGAAAATACCTAACCCAAGACAGAGTAGCAGAGATGGAAGAAAACTGAGAAGGCCGGCCGGCTAGCTGCTGTGCGATGGAGAAGATGGTGAGCGGCTACTGTGAGGCGTAGAAAAGACCACAGATCCGTGGCTATTGATGTCGGCTCTCTTCAAAAATCAGAAAAATGGAACCCAAGAACAAATCTGAATTCAACCCCTTTTATCCGATGGCTCCTCTTCAAAACCACATCTCAAACATTCCTCACTTTCTAGTTGGTGTGCCTTGCTCTTCTCCCCAAAAA